AAAAAATAAAAATTTTTTTGTTTTTTTTTTTTTTTTTTTTTTTTTTTTGCTTAAAGGAGCGAACAAAGATGCTGCCTTTTTATTTTTTTGAGGGCATCCAATTGGGGAACAAATTGTTTGATTTATTTCTTGCACATTGATAAGCATGGAACTATTTTGAGACATATTCCAGGTAGATATCCTACCAAAATCTTTTGGTAGATTGATGTTTTTCTGGATTGCACCATGTGGTAAACAGACGCTGCAGAAAACAATCTGGGTTTGGTTTTGAGATTACGCTCTAAATTTAGTTTCCCCTGACCACAAGCCACGCTTTCTTTCACACCACTCCAACATATCAGCAGCAGCTACATTGAAGACAGAGAAGAGAGAAACTTTATGGTTATACTCGAGTTCATAAGTGGTCACTGAGAGGAACTTTTCAGCTGCTCGTGCTGATTAAAGACGCATGAGCTTTCCTTAGTTAGCTTCCCTTTGCGAAATGCACCTTTTCTTCTTGCTCTTTTTGTTTTACTTTGCAGTGCTGCAATTCTATTTGTATGTTGAATAACACTGCCCTCTTGTGTTTGGTTTATATTTTTAATATAAGATAATTTATCAAACAAACCATTATATAATCCTCCTTTTTCTTAAACTGAAATATTACCATCTGTTACCTGTCATTTAACACTCAGACATTTAATTTTCCGTATATTTGCATGAGAAAATATTTATTTCTTCAGTGTTGTGTTCATTGGTCATTGTCTTGTCTTTTCATGCTCACTGTGTTTTCAGTCACTCTGATAATTTGTCAGATGATCCACAGTAAGTTGCATTTTCAACATTCGAAAGTTTCCAGTTTGTGGCTCATTCCATTTCTCATTTATTGCCAGAATTGGATTTTTGTTTTGTGTGAGGTGTTTTTTTTTCTTTTTTCTTCCTTTTCTTCATGCATTTGGAGTCTTACAGATTGTACTTTAACTCTTTCCACACATTCTTCCAGATGTTATTGGGAAAATAACTCTGGATCCCTCATCAAACACAGATTCTTATTTTTGTACATATTTATTCATTGTAATTCAATTTTTCCCGACTGTCATTCTATCATAAAAAGGTCTAGATTACTAGACTGTGCAAAAGTTTGTACCCTTACCTGGACTGAAAAAATTAATCATGATATTTAGAGATATATTTAGCAGAATTGTGATGCAGCATTACAAAAATTGTTTTCCTATAATCAACAGCTCTTAATGTTTATTATCCCCTTAACATGCAGCTGGACGCCCATGTGCCGTTTTTCCATTGCATTTTCCGGGGGTGAGGGTTAAGGGGTTGTATAAACTAGTTAAAATGCAACATTGTGTCTGAGAAAAGAGTAGCTGTTAAACAGAGTTTTACTGTTTAAAAATGGAGACAAAAAGACAAAAACCTGTACCATTATGGTGACAATAATTTAGCTTGTTTGATTGAAGTAGAACTAAACTTGTAGAGTCAGTAAAGTTTAGGTTCCTTCAGATTGTTTCACTTCAATCACAAATCGTAACTTCAAACTGTAAGTTTACTCTTTGGACTAAATAGTCTGGAGAGTAAAAATGCTTTGCTGTGATTAAAAATGACCATATGCATTCTGTTGTGGCCTGGGATCCATGTTTTGCTTTGGAACAGACTTGGCTCATCCCTTGTGCTTCAGCCAATTGCATGTCTTGCCTTCTGCTGCTGGTTTCAGAAAAGTTATTTTAAGATGAAAGTTTATAAAACTACAACTTTTTGCTATGAGTTAAAGAATGAGCACAAATGTTTGGTTCTATAAAAGAAGGCTGGCTTTCCTTTACTTTGGCTGCTCCTGTTTTGGGGGTCGCAAAGGCAGATATGAGCTAACATTGTAGATTTGAATAGAAAATAATGTGAAAAAACACTTCAAAATTTCCAGATGAAGCTAAAAAACTGAATTCTGCAACTGTTCATTGGTTTCTGAATAAAACCATAACATTACACAATACTGAAGCCATGTTCCTCCATTATGCATCATCTCTGTTTTACCTTCTCACTTAGGAGTTTGAGTATGATCGACATGCGTGGTGAAAACGAGGCCATCCTGCAGCCACACAGTCACATTCGTCATGAACTGATGCACAACCAGTACAACAGAATAAAAGAAGATGAGAATCACTGGCAGGAAGTAAATGCATTAGTCTCCTCTCTATTCACTATTTTGTCTGCAAGTTTGCAGAAATATTTGTTCCTTCAAGCTGCTGGGCATGTTGCATCTGATCTGTATTTCTTTTTTTATTTTTGTGCCTGTCAGGACCTGGCCCGATGGAAAAGTAGGAGGAGGAGTGTCTCTCAGGATCTGATCAAAAAGGAGGAGGAGAGGAAAATGATGGAGCAACTGATGTCAGGAGACAGCTGCATCTCTCAAAGAAGAAAAAGCATCAAAACCTACAGAGAAATTGTGGAGGACAAGTAGGTGACGTCCACAACACATTGAACACTTTATCTGGCAAAATCAAGTTACCATAGTGATCAACACATCCATATGGAAAAAACCTTTCATGTACTGAAATATGGGCTTCACACATTCAGGTGAATCTGACTTAAGGCCATCACCTAAAAACCAACATAAATGAAGATATTGACTGTCAAAGGACTTAAAGCTGCAGTTTATAACTTTACTTAAAAAAAAGTCACATATTTGTTAAAACCATCACTATGTAGTTAAAGTATAATATGAGACAGATAATCTGTGAAAATAAATCTATCACCTCCTCCCTGAATTGTTGTCTGAAGAAATGCACTGCTCCCAAACAAAACAACCAATCGGAGCTAAGAGGAGGGTCTTGGCGTTGTCAATCATTCTCATGTACTCACTGCTCAGTGTGCTAATGGCTGAGGAACAGCCTACCTTTATAGGAAAACCGCCGTCATCAGTGACCATGCTGACTTGCCTTAGCATTCACGACAGATTCTGTTATCAGGAAGAAACTGCAGCCTCCACTACACGGAGGGTGATTGACAGCGCTAACACCATTCTCCTGTTTCTTTCTAGTTGGCACTGGGAGAAGGCAGATGAACTTTTTTTTTTTACATTGAACATTTGTCACATACCGAACTGTTACAACATAATGACAGTTTTAATAAATATGTAAAATAATATAGTATTTGTTTAAAAGTTACATACTGCAGCTTTAATGCTGGTCATAGCAAGTAAAGAAAATGAAGATAGTAAAATGAAAGACGTTTGTTTTTGACTCTGAATGACAAATTTATTTCAATCAGCTTGAAAATGTCTGCCTGTTGTCAGGGAGCGGCGTGAGGAGGAGCTGCGGGAGGCGTACCGGAGAGCCAGAACTCCAGAGGAGGCGTCGGCCATCCTCCAGCGCTACGCCCAGCGTTTCTCCATCAGCGAGGCCATCCTGGAGCGCCTGCAGCTGCCCAAGCTTCTGGACCGCAGCGTGTCGGCCGACCCCTCCTTTCCCACCTCGCCCTTCTCCCTCTCGCTCTCTTCCTCCCCCACGACTCCGGACCCTTTCGACGAGCCGTCCGAAGGGCCACTGAGGTACCTGCGGCAGCAATCTGCGCCGGCGCCACGGTTTACGTCCACGCTGGAGGCGCAGATTGAAGAGTTTCCCAAAGACTCGAGCTCACACCAGCGGCCTCAGATCCGCTCCCGCTCTTCTGAACCACCGTCCACCCGGGCCCTGTCACCCAAACCGGTGCCTTTGCTGACACCAAAGCCTTATTTCCAGCCCCGACTGTCGGCTGATGAAAAATGGAATAGCAAGGTGAGACAGGATATGTGAGTTGCATACATGTTTAAGGTTACATTTAAATGAACCTTTAAAAAAAATTAACTACTGCTTTCAGACTATTCATCTTGCCCTCTCTTAAACTTGTCTAAATTATTTTCATAATGATAACGCTCTGAAAAAATGTGCATATTCAATTAGGAGAACTATGATCAGGGTCAATTTGGCTTTAAAAGTCTACACACTATATTAATAGGTGTTTGTGAGGTAAAAACTGAGGCTATGATTTATAATTTCAAATTTTTGTTCACAACTAATGTGTAATAGCTCCTGCTCACTTCAGCTAAATATTTTTTGGAATGAAAAAAAAATCCTGAAAGTGTTAACAGGTTTGTTTGTATTCCAGTTGAATTGTACAGAACAAATGCAATGAATTGACTATTCTATCAATTATTCTGAAAATTAAGTGGTTAAATGTTAAGGCTGCAGAATGTGCCAACTTTTTTTTTATCCGATTAGTCTTTTCTGTATATTAGAATTACTTTATGCAAGTAAAAATATTTCCATTCCTTTTTTTAATAAAAAAAAAAAAACACTTTATGGCAAAAATGCAATAACAACCTTCCTTTAATAAAAGGCTGATTATGTGTAGCAGAAGATGCATCTGCAGCAAAAATAAATACTTCTACAACATGTGAAGTATTTATTCACATCTTGAATAAATATGTGAATAAATACATATTTATTCAACATGTGATCGAGTGTTCAAGCATCAACACAGTGTAAGGCTGATCTGGTGATTATTGTTTGGAATAACTGATTAATAATTGGATAGCTTAGTTAATTTGATGTGTTTTGCTAAATTTGAACCAGGTGAAGCTCAAACTACCACTTGTGGAGTTCTGGGCAGAACATCTTTACACAGAACTGTGTTTTTGTTTTTATCATAAATGTAAAATGTGTGTATTTTTTGTAAAGTCTTGGCTAAATTACTTCTGAGTGTGTTGTTGTTTAAGCCTTTTTGTTAACGTTTAATCAACTGCTATATTAGTTGATGATTATTTTGCATCATAAAAAAAATCTGCCATTTTCTCATTAGTGCGTAAACTTTAGATGAGCCACTGTATTCTGGAAGTGTTGTTGCTTTTCTTCCCTTTGGAGATCTCTTAACATTTACATCATAATGTCACAGAACTGTCATTGTGATGAGTGACTGGTGTGTATGAAAACCAAAAACCTCCCCTCACTTTAGAAGCATGTAATGTTCCAATTTCACCCTTAAAGGGATCCATTTCCCTTTCTTCTGGCAAAAAATGAGCAAAAGGAATATTTAAAATGAGCTCTTGCGTTGTGGAGTGGTGTAAAGGGAGATGCAAGGTATTACCAGATCCAAATGCAGCAGGGCACTTTTTCTGGAATTTCTTGTCGGGAGTCCCATCTTGAATGGAGCCCTCTGTTCGCTGTTGACTTAAGAAGTTGACAAGTAGGACCCCTCTCAATGTGAAGTGGGCTCCCGGCGGACAATGAGTGCCCACACAGGCTGTAAGGACAGGGATGAGGAGGTGGAGGAAGAGGGGGCCAACTGAGAGGCTGCATTCAGCCGGCTCCGGCACCGTGTCTTAAGTTACCGCTCACTGGGAGCTCCTCACACATATATTAGTGCTTCTTTGTAGCAGAGGCCAGCAGGGTGTTTTCAGCAGATGAACAGCTAATGACTAACAGAAGCGAGGTTCATAATGAGAAGGAATGAGGGATTTTAGACTTTAATTATTTACATTTTTTATTTGTCATAAATTGATGATTTTTAGCTGTGAAAATTCAGCCAATAGAAAAATACAGTGCTAAAAATGTATCAGTCCTTTAACTTTTTCAGATTCTGCATTTTTTAAAATCACAAACTTAAACCTATTTTATTGGGATTTTATGTGACTTAAAAACATTCTGACTGTTAATTGTGAAATAGAAGGAAAGCTGTAAAAACTTTTCACAAGTAGAAATCTTAAAAGTGAGTAAAACCCTCTTTACTCTGTCGACTCTAATTCAAATCCAGTTTGACCCACTATGATGAGAAGACGGCTATTTGCAAATGGATTCCACCTGCGTGTGATTTAATCTTAGTAGATGCAATCTATGAATTCTTCAGAGACATGGTTCTCTACCTGAGAAGCAGCCAGGAGCCCCATGGTAACCCTGGTGGAGGTAAATAAAGGCCAATCATGGAAGAAAAACATTTAGAGGCTGTAAAAACAGTTAACATCAAAGTTTATTCATGTCTTCATCCTGCGAAGGGTGACTGTGTGAAGTAGTGACTGAAATAAAAACGCATCTCACTTTTCAGATTTTTATTTGTAAACAATTTTTAAAACAATGTATGATTTTCCTTCCACTTAATTTTGGTGCATAAAATCCCAATAAAATACATGGTTGTTTGTGGTTGTCATGTGACAAAATCTAACAGAAAGACCAAAGAGTAGGAAAATATTTGCAAGATACTACATAGTAAGTAAAATCAAATCTGATGCCTCACAGCCAATACAGTTTATGGTCATAATAAGTAGGAATTATTGCTAACTCTGTGCTGTTGCAATGCAGGCGGACAGTTTGCTACGAGTAAACGGCGACATCAGAAACGATCCCAGTTCCATGAAGTCGGAGAGCAAAGAAAGGGACTCCCCTCCTCTGTTCCAGGCGTCTCCAGATGCCCCCCCATCAGACGCCTCACCCGCTCGCAGTCCACCCGCCTCCCCCGAAAGAGGAAGTCCAGTGTCAACAAAAACCAGCGGCAGACAGAGCAACATGGAGGCAGCCTCAGTCTCTGAGGGTTCACCCACTCCCACTCGGCCCACTTCTCTTCCGGAGGTCAGATTCAGGATGTTTATGATTTATACACCAAATAATAAGGTTACTTTGAAAGCATTGACAGGCAGCTAAGTTATGTCAAACAACTTGCTGTGGTGGAAAGATTGACTTGTTGAATCCAGTGAGCTTTTGTAACCTCAAATGTGCTGCATCAGTTCAGTTTCTATGGAAACAGGCCCTGTTGGTACAAAACACTTTAAATCTCACAACATTCCTGCAAAGACATGCTTTTAATTTGAGACCAGAGGTTATTATAACTATTACATTTCTTTAATTTTCTTGTTCCATCCCTGGAACTTTGCCCAATAATTCCTGGCGTCTGACTGTTTTGGTTGGAACTCTAGACAGCAACAATTTCCTTCTTCACTACAGGAATGTCAGTCTGCTGACTCAGTCTTTCATCCAGACAGTAAACCATCTGTGACCATTACAGGAGCTAAAGCAGCCAGAGGACAGCTTTGTGGAGACAGGAGGCCAGAAAGCTGCTGCTCAACAGGAAGAAAAGTCAACTACTGCAGCTCACAAAGCGCCACCTGCAGGTCTTAGCAACACACTGAAATGCTGAGGCCATAATTAGCATTCTTCCTGTTTATAGGCTATTTTTCTTTGTGTGTAAAACTATGATTTCTAGAATTTAGTTTGTATTGTCCTCCAGAAGCTAAATCGGAGAAGACTGAACAGTTCACAGGGAACGTACTGCAGATTCTCCCAACTGAGCTAAACACACCAAACGACCCGACATCAACGGTAAGAGAAATTCAGCAGCCATTATACCAGAAGTCATCCAACCATTGTAAACCAGCTTGTAGGTAAGAGTTTCCTCTTGTCAGGAGTCTTTTCAGGGAGTGGAGACGGCACCGATTCCGGCTGCACCCGGATCGCTCGGACATAACCCTCTGAGGGAAACGTCATCAGGTGAATTCATGTCCTGAAGTCCAAACATAGTCAGCAGCTTCTTTTCCATCCCTCCTTATATTCTAAGTTTGATTATCATGTCAGTTTTGTTCGCTGCTTTTCGTTTAGTTTTTCACCACTTCCCTTTTTCTGCTTACATGAGATAAAATGACTGATCACAAGCTATTGTAGTCACTTCTTAATTGTATACAGATTTTAATCCATAGCAATAGGACACTTTAAAGCCTTTTAAAAACAAAACATTCAGATAACTGTTTTTAGCCAACTAAAATATATATAAAAAAAATAAACATACATCCTAATACCAAGAGTATATTTATTACTAACTAAAGTTCTACTAAATCTACCATATAAGTAAAAATACAGAACTTTTCCCCGGTTTGACTTAAAGTCTCAGGTTGTCTGCTTCAGCTCCTGATTTTCACATCTGTCCTATCCCTCATTATTTCCTTCCCTGTTTTCCTTCTCTCCCACATTCCCTGTTTTTCTTCCATCCACGTATTTTTATCATTTTGCTGTAGAGTTTGAAATCAGTGTCAGGTCCCCGCAGTCCTCCAGCAACCCTAAGTCACGCTGGGAGTTCTTCGCCCCGCCAGGTAAACCTCTGTGTTGGTGGAGGTCTCCTTACCGCGCTGACATTCTGCTGTACACTTTTCCCTCATCCTTTTACTTAGTGAGGCATTTTGAAGCTTTCTGTTTGAACTGCTTTTGCATATTACTGAGTGTCCTTCTAGCTGATCAGACTGATCAGCTGATAACCAACTTTTGACAGCAAAACAGTAATAAACCAATGTTTATTACTGGGTTCTCCACAAAAACCAGCAGCATCTGACTTGTATTAAATAAGCTTTAACAGTATGATCACACCTACATTGAACTACATACAGGTTCAAGTCTGAGTGCTGAATTCGTGCAAACCTCATCCTGACAAGAAAACATTGAATTCATGTAATTTTTAATTGCAGAAGAATATTCTCAAACTGCAAAATTTAGAAACGTCTTTCATTCTCATAGAATAATTAGATTAAGTGGTAATTACTGGGTCCTTCAGCAAGAAAAAAATATCTGCCATCTCCCATAACCCTCTTGCTTTCCATAGCCATGTCCCATAAAACTCCTGGATGGCATCTGATGTTTTGAATAATAATAACAACTATATTTTGTGTAGGCGCATTCCTTTGGTTTAAAATGAATTTATTTTTAGGCTCTGATCCAAATATTTTGGGGTTACGAACAAGTATAACATAAGCAATATTACATAATTTATAGTCTAATAAAAGTCATGTATTGCTTTCATAATCTTTTTGTTTTTCACCTCAATATGATGTTTTGTAAACATCTGTCTCATCACTTTGTATCGAGAATATTGACTTTCTTTATTTGTTCCTTTTGTTTCCAGAAGCTGCAGAGAAAGATCGACATGAAAATGTGAGTAACTGGTTTGCTGAGCTCTCACATTGCTTCTCTTCAGGCCTGATACTTAGTGCTAGAGATCCGAACGCTGCAGTTTTAGTAGAAACAGTGATTTGACTAATGCAGCTACACTAGTGCAGAGATTTGGAAGATTATTAGTCTTTTGATTAGGCTTCTTTATGTAGAAAAGACCATCTTTAACATTTGAAATTGGCTGCGTCACATTTTTTTGGTAAAAAAGTTGTTTATAAATACTTCATGTGTATATGAAGTGAATGGTTAAATGTTATCAGGTATTTTTACTCCCATGTTTGCGCTGTTCGTTTCATCAAACATTTTGGTTCTACCTTTGATTCAAACTGCAAACAGTTATAAACAGTCAAGCAGATGATAAACCTTCTCCAAAAATCTAAACCTACGTAAAATTTTTACTTAATTTTCCATAAACAAAGCAGCCCCATCATACTATACAGTGATGCAAATGTCAACATTTTCTTTTTTTTTCTTTTCTTTTTTTTAGATCATGCCCATTTTTTGCTCATTTTTAGCTTAGCCTTTGGTTGTTGTCGCACTGAATGGTACTGAGCTAATTACTGAAGCTCACTCAGAGCTGTTGATGTAGCATGCCAGATGAGGATGCTGCAGTTGATGGCTGAGTCTGCTTTTTCCTTTTTTATTCACCTCCAGCTCTCTTTCTCTGTCTTCTCTCTCCTTAGTAGGCGTCCTTTGGCTAGCAATGGAGTAGTGCTGTTGTGGTAGACCAAATATTTCTGTCTCCTCCCTTCTCCTTTCTTTTTTTCTGTGGTGGATGTGTGTGTGTACATCGGGGTCTGTGAATGGGTTATGTGTGACATCGATGTGTGCATGTATCTGTCGTGTATCTGTGCATGTTGACCTGTGTGTATACGTATGTGGGCCTATCAGGTGTCAGTCCCGGTGTTGGCCAAGGCCAGGCGGGGAGACCGCTGGTCTTGGGACCCGGATGAGGAGCGAAAGCGTCAGGAAAGGTGGCAGCAAGAGCAGGAGCGCATGCTGCAGGTACATAGCAACCACGCAGGGAAAAGCATGGCGCATGAGTGTGCAAGGCCAGACTTAGTTTGTCATGGAGTTTGGTAGACAGAGCACAGCACCAACAGTGAGTCTGAGATGCAGGAAGTGTTTATCTCAGGTTTTCTGTCCCGTCTGGAAATGTGTAGAGTTTCAGTATCTTACAGTTTGAGTAAAAAAAGAAGAAAAATAAGCAAATACAAAGTAAATGAGAGAATATTAGATCTAACTCTCCCAGTTATTAAATTTAGATAACTGGAATCAGACCAACAGAGTGAGTTTAGTTTCATCAGACTTTGTTTGGACAAACCCACAGAATCCACTCAGAAGTCATTTAGCCAGTTGTTTAGAGCATCTTTTTGTCTGGGATGGTTTATTTATCACGGTACTCATCTAATGCACAGTCACAGAAGGACTAACTGCACTTCATTGCTTTTTCCTCCCTGACATATTTTTATTAAGCAAATCTCAACGCTCCTATGCTCACTTGAACCACTAGATGGCGAGCTTGCACAGTGGAAGAAGTGCTTTGGTCTCTTCCATCACCGTCTCCATCTCATGCAAACACAAAGGCGGAGTGTTTGTCCAACGTGGCTGCTGTTGTTGCTGCCCCGGTCCCTCTCTCCCTCCTCAGCCAATGAGCATCTGTAGTCTGCACATGTTTAGACATTTAAAGGAGTGAGGTCTGTTACTGACAGTGTTCACCGGTGTCTTAAAAACAGATTACACTCCTTTCTGGTTGTTTGTGAGGACACATCAGTGTGCTCTCCACCTCCTCACTGTGTTTTGTCTTTGTGCTCCAGTCTTACTCCATTATAAATGTCGATAATTCCTCTAACTCTCTGGGGTTCCTGCACACATTTGCATAACAGGAAAATGATTTGTCTTTTCTGGCAATTTTGTCTAAAATTATGAAAAATAGAAAGCAAGTTTTCAAAAGACAATTGTGAAGGAACTTTGTGCTTATCAGCTTCTGCATGCTTTGGTATTGTCTGTTTTCTGCTGGGCTTTTGCTGCTTTTTGATCTTTCATTTGATGCTTAACAGGCACATGTCTACGTGAAGAAAATAAAAATGCAGGCTTGTTTTTTTTTTTTCTTTTTTTGTCGTATTCATTTCCTTATTTTATGGTTAGAAAATCAGTAGTTTTAGAAAACTAAAAGTGAAACATTTTTAAAAGTGAAGGCTGTGCCAGCCAGCTGTGCACATCTTTTCTGTTTTTCGGCCCAAACATCCACCTGCGCAAAGTTCAGTTTTTCACTATACCTTGGCTCTCTGCTGTATGTCATGTGTCTGTTGCCATGGTGACAGGAGAAGTACCAGCGTGAGCAGGAGAAACTGAAGGAGGAGTGGGAAAAAGCACAGAGGGAGGTGGCAGAGGAGGAGAGGAAGTATCATGAGGAGGTGTGTGTGCATACATGTGTGTGTTTGTGTGCTTACACATGCATTAGCTGTTACACATGTTACAGCATACAAACTGTATGTTTGTGTGGCCATTTCAGATCTATAAACCAACCTACTGTGTTTATGTTAGTGTTTGGTTTGGGATTTTCTCCTTCCCAACAGGAGCGTCGGATACTGGAGGAGACTGTGATGCCTCTGACGCCCCGCTCCTCAGCCCTGCCCTCCCCCAGCCGAGGGGGGCTCTCCTCCACCTCCGAGCCACAGGACACGATTGTGCGTTCGCTGGCAGATTGGGAACGAAAACAGGAGCTACTGGAGAGGCAGTCTGTGAGGGACTTATTCATTATGTTTTATGGATTTTCTGTTTTGTTTGTCCCATGTTGTGACGTGATCTGTACACATACTTTTTATTTCTTTCAGTTAAAACTGCAAAACTTAATGTATTTTATTATAAATTTGTTGCAGACTAACACAAAGTAGCACATGACTGAAATAAAAGGAAGAGGTGATTTACCTCAGTGGACTTGCAGATGTCATTGTAGGACAAAGTGGTTCTACAACAGATTGACTCAAAGGCGCTGAATAAAAATGCATGCCACACTTTTGAGATTTGAGAACCATGTATCATTTTCCTTCATTATATAATTATGAATTTGCAGTTAGTTAATATGGTACTTTAAGCACCAGAGCTAAAACTATTCTAGTTTAGTGATTGAAATGTATAGAAATAAACTCTCAGAAGTTACTTTAGCTGGTCTGTTTTATGATTCAGAGAGGAAGCACAGAGAGTGCAGAGTGGAAAAGGAAAGAAAATGACAGAACCAGTGACATCAGCACTGCTGACGACAGCATGAAGACCGGCAGAAGGTTGGTGAGCCGAGACTCAAAGTAGCCAACAGTGTGGCTCAGACGGCTGTCTGGTCATAATTTGATGGTTTTGCTCAGCGAGTTGCTCCAATTGACCTTTGATGTTAATTTGTCGTTATTTACTTCACTCATGCACTCCTAAGTCTTAAAAGTTTTCCATGAATTTGTTTATATGGAGATGCTTTTATTTTTATTAGCAAGAAGATTAATGTGTTTTAATCTGAACTGTCTTTGTATTCAAAACATGTTTAAGTCAAAACATTCAAGATTTTTTCCTAAATATTAGGAGCCAATTCATTCTATTTGTGTCATAAAGTCCAGATTTTGACATTATTTTGGACGAGGAACATAAATAGAGATGAGGCTCTTTGATCAAAGTTTCTGTTTTTTTTCTTCCTCTGTCAGCTTGGTGAGCCAGAACAGCAGTCAGACAGAGAGACTTGCTCACAGTGTTCACAACGGCCAAAAGCTTCCTCCTACATCCCCCAAATGTTCAACTCCACCCAAGAAGCAAACAGGACCTGACAGCACCAGAACCAGCCGGCCTGCAGGAGAACGAAGGTGTGTAAATGTTTGAGAGAGAGAAGAAATAAAGAGCTTGATTCAGTTTTATTAATCATTCATTTCCATTTTTCATAAACATTGTTTCCGTTTTAAGAAATTGCCTCCTTTTTGATTTAAAGGAGCCAGTGTTGCAACCAAAAACGGCCAGCAGGTGGCATCTGTTGCCTGTATTTCACTCCATGAATCTCCTTCACACAAATAACTCATTGCATGTCATGAAAGTGTTTAGAAAACATTTTTAGACAAGTCAAGTTTTATAAAAACATAAAAAATGTTGTATTTAAACGAAAATGTGCCGTTGAATCTTCCAAAGCTGTTTTTTGTGTCTGTGGTTTGGATTGGTTGTGGTCCGTCTGTGTCGTCCAATCATGTTGCTGTTTCTGGGAGCCATCATCATGTTGCATGTTGCTGTCCATTTCCAGGTGCAGCCCCACTGATAATAATGTAAGAAGCTCATCAAAGCCCCTGGCAGCATGTTCATCAGCACCAGACACATTTCCCCCACCGCCCAACAGGTACTGCAGCACAGAAAGCCCACCAAGACCAGGAGGATGGGCGCTGCTCAATTCTGCATTGTCATTTTCTGCTTTCCTCCCCACCCCCACCTTTACTTTCCTCCACCCATCTCATGCCATGTAGCACTGCAGCAGCAACCCTGCAGTCTGCCTGGAATTTTAAATAGACAGAGTGAACAGTTGAGTCCAGGAGAAGTTTCTTTTTTGTTGTTTTTTTTTCTTCCCCCACTTGAAACAATAATGTCAAGAAAATGACTGTAATATTTTGTTTATTTTGAGGAGATTCATAAACATAGGAGAAATTCTAGTTTTCAAATCTATTTGAATTTCTAGGCTTTGATGAGGTTTCAATTGAAAAAATGCACACAGATTAGGAAAAGGAAGGATATTGGTGGTAATTTAATCACAGGTAAAGGATTTGGGCAGTGCACAGAACAAACTGACTCTTTCTCTGGATGCTGGTTTGAAGAAAATCTTAACTGCGTCTCTTCTGCCTTTTGTAGGTCTGTCAGTGGGAAGAAGCTGTGCTCCAGCTGTAGTCAGCCTCTGGGGAAGGGAGCAGCCATGATCATAGAGACTCTCAGCCTCTACTTCCACATCCACTGCTTTAAGGTTGGTTGGTCCACAAGCTGCTCTTCGTCTCCACAAGGTTTATTCACTGTAACAGATTCAGACGTCTCTGTTTTCTACTAGCAAAAGCCTGAATATCAAATGAATAGAGTTAAAGAAGTTGATTTAGATAAGGTTTCTGCACAGTGTCTTACAACATTATTCATATACTCTAAACTTTTTCACATTTTGTCACATTTCTACTTCAAACATTAGTGTACTTTTAGTGAGACAACCAGTACCTTCCTAATAGTGTGGCGAGCTTTTACAGTCAATGAAATTGAGTCATTTTAGTAGTAAACAGATTTGACTTGAATCTCAGTATAAGTGCAGCCATTTTGTGAAGAAATGTAAATATCTGGGTTGAACGGTAAAGAGTTGTTTTAGGAAAACCTGTCAGAAGCTGGAAAAGACTTGAAACTGTGTTGGAGGTTCACCTTCCAGCAGGACAAGGTGCAGCCAGAGCTACAGTAGATGAAAGTTTAATGTTTTCCAGAACTGAGATGGACTGTTTTTATCTTAATGTATTAATAAATGAATAAACTATATTTGCTGTCTTCTCCTCGCCTGTCTCTGTTAGTGTGGGGTGTGTAAAGGACAGCTAGGTGACACAACCACGGGGACAGACGTCCGGATCAGAAACGGACTCCTCAACTGCAACCAATGTTACATTCGTTCCCGCTGTAAGTTTCCAAACATTCTTTCTATCTCCTTCTCTTGTTTTTTTTTTTTCCTTTAACTCTGCAGTTTCTACTTATCCACCTAAAATATTATTCAAATTAACCGTCTTCATGGCCTATGGCCCTGATATGGGTTCCCAAATTAAAAGTTCTGTTAAAGCTTAATAAAAGGATACACACTGTGAACTGGTGTGTATATGTTAATTCTGGTTCATAGATTTAGTGTTTTAAAGGAAACTGATTCTGTTTCTCTCTAAAACTTTTAAATCAGGACATTCTCTAAAACTTAAATGCTGTGAACCTGGTGAGACACGAGTGTTTTATTAAAAAAATCTCCTCAGTATCCCTTTAATAAACGCAAGTCAGACTCAGTGAAGCATCAGAAGGAAGCCTGAAAGGAGATGACAAAATTAAATCAAAACCTTTTGTTGGAAAATTAACATTTTTATTCCTTTTATAAAAACTTCTGCTCGTTAAAGTAGTTGGTTTCTTTTCTTTTGTCTTTTCTCTGAAGCGGCCGGACAGCCGACCACGTTGTGACGCTCGAGTGAAAAGCACAAGGTTTACAGAAGAAAGCCTCATTCTCATTTTAACCTGATTATCCTCCAATCACGTCCTGCGCGGCCTGTTGGGATGTATGCTTCCTCTGCAGCTCTGTGACCACCGAAGATGCATCATATGGGCCAAATAGACATCTGGCAACTGTTGAATGTTTAAAACAAGAACATATATTCTCTGTGTTCATGTCATCTGGTACATGAGTGAATTCTGGATTCAATTTATCCTCGTCTTTCCGTAAAACATGCTTCATCATGCAGCGAGTTTGTTTTAAGGCGGCAGCCATATTGGAAAGAACCCACATTGAACACACTGAGAAAAATCTGACCGCTTTTCATACTGGAAAAAAATCACAAAAATATGATGCAATCTGTTTCAGATTAAAGATTGATGTTGTTCCAAAGGATAAGAATCTAAGTCGGAGGGCAGAAAATGAGATCAGGTTCATTCTGTATCCTTCTCAAGGTATAAACACTATTTTTCCCTTCAGGTAAATAATATTTGAATTTACATGGTAAATTACAAAAGTACAATGAAGCTATGAACAAACGTTTAGAAACACAAAATATACAAAAGTAAATATTTTTTCACCCTTGACTGTCATATAAAAGCTGTTGTTTCCGTAAAGAATGTGATTAAGTTCTAATATAAAGCTATAGAGCAATTTGGGCTCATTTTAAAGGCAATAGTGCGTGTTGTGAGGTATTTGGTTGCAGCAGATTGTTCCTTATGCAGTCTGTCTGGTTGTAAAGCCAACAGTTTAATGTGCCTTAGGAACGGGAAATGATGCAGGAAGCAAAGCACCAGATGTATGGTGTCTTATTTCTGCACTATTTTCATTTCGTGACAAGTGATTTGGTCAAATTTAAAGTGGGAAAGTGCAGAAAAGCAAACTCCATCCCTCCGTTAGCCGCTTAATCACTGCTGTTTATTTTCATACAAACATATTCAATTTCATCATCTCCCTCTGATTGCCCTTTAAGCTGTAATGGCGAATGACAAAGGAAAAAACCTTTGTTACACAATATGCTGTGTGTTCTCCGTACTGCAGGGCAAATATGGGTTTCATTTTGAATGTTTGTGATATTTGATGTGTAAGAATCAGGCTTATTTTGGTCATTTCTCAGCTGTATAGTTCATTTTTGCGCCTGAAAAAGCATAAACATCTGTTGTATCTGAAACATCCATCATCAGCAGAGGTAATATGAAGACATACCAGCAGCAGCTGCACCTGTGCAATGTTTGGTTGGTTTAAAACTAAAGACCTGTCCTGCCAGCTGCACATTTAGGACTCTTGCTAAGAGCTTGGTTATATGTTGTGGGTGTGTTGAAAAAAATGCATGTTTAAGCGTAAAACCAAATGATTTGCTGTATGAAAGTAAAACAGCCTAAACTTCCTTGTGCTGAACAGGCTTCACCTCCGGGGTCATCTCTCACTTTTTCTGATCTGCAGTATTTTAGGATTATTTTCCAACTGTTGTATTTTTATTTTTTAATCCTCATTTAGCTGATGAGTAAATCAAAGACGAGTCTTTTATAGCAGGATCTCTGAGTCGGAGCTCCTCTCCCAGAGGGTTTTAACAGAACAGTAGGGGAATGGAAACCTTTTTGCATCTGTACTGTATTTATTATCTAATATTCACCTTGAACACTATTCGGAATATAGTTTCATTTGATGTTTAAATGCAATGGCATTTATTATTTCATTACTGTATGTTTATAAATAAATATTATAAATCAAATATATTTTTCTTTCCTTTTTATTGTAAAACAAGTGGCTGATATACATTTGGAAAGTCCTGGAAATGTAGGAATAAGTCGTTCCTCATATTTGCTGGAAAATTAAAGTCTGATATTTTTCTTTTTTTTTTTTTTTTTTGCTTTTAGCAGCATCAGTGTTGAAAATACAAATCCTTCCACATCACCTCTTTCCATATATATTTTACGTTATTCTAAATTGTGCAAAAACCTAATGACCATCTAAACAAAATGCATGCATTTAGTTATGAGGTAAATGTAGAATGATTCTGCATGAAATGTGGTTAATGCTTGGGGATGATTCAACAATAATATTTGTTCTCAATTTAATATAGATGATTTTAAAATAACATAATTTTTTATTATTTTGTATCAATTCCCTTAAAAATTCTATCTGGAAAAAATGATGGGGAGCATATGGCTTTTGGTAATTTATTCACTTATTTACTGTGTTAAAAGATTTTGGTAAACAATATCATTTTATCCAACTAAATAAATCTTTTTTTTTTTTTTAAGGTTACATTATTTTATTTTGCCTACTTTTACTTGTCTGGTTATTTGGTCGTTTTTTGATTTTCATAAACTATTTGTTTTATGTTTTCTTTGTCTTGCTTCTGTTATTTTTCTTAACAATTGCTAATAATAATTCGTCTAAAAAAAGAACATTGCCAGTATGCTTTGTTTTATTTATGTTTTTTAAATTGATCTACTCTTTGATGTGTTAAAACTTCAAAGCTGATGAAACAGAACCGCTGTAATGTTTTGTCAAGTGAAAACCATATGCTGTTTTATTTGTTTTGGGGGAGTAAAGATGTGGTTGTTTGGTTATTATTAAAGAATCTATGGGGCCTAAATGAGTTTTAAACCGCGCCGGAACTGTCCGTGGTGCTGAAATCGGCGGCCTTTTTAAACCACCGCGATGAGATTTACAATCCCAGTTAATCTGTATAGACGTGAAGAATAATGGTTGCTTCTTGAACTTCTTTAAAAAATGACAAAAGCAAGTTTGAACTATTATTTTTTTTATCATCAACAATCATTTCAATGGTACACCTTGAAAACTATGTGCACATGTAGAAATATTTCCTTCTTAAATATAAGCATTCATTACCTACATATAAATAACTTTCAGATCCTGGACAAAAACATGTTACATAATGCTCACAAAATGGGAGAAAAATCATTTGAAACCAGACAAAAAGACAACATGCAAATTATATAGAAATAAATACAATGTCTGCATCCATCCCCCCTTTTTAATACCTAAAATAAATTCTTCCGAGGGAATTTTAGTAAAACATCAAAAAGACTTGTATGGTCGATCTACGAGGGAATATGGCCTATGGTTCAACTATAAGAGACAAGAATACGTAATAACACTATACAGTTTGAGCCACAAAACACTGCCGTAGAAAGACACACAAAACATACAGATTTCCTGTCTGAGGTGAACATTGCAGTAGTTTGTGCCTTTTTTAATATCGAGGAAATAAGTGTGTTTGTAGCGACAATTTAAAGAAACTAAACTCTCTGCAGCCCTAAGAAACAAAAAATACCGCAGTTTCCACACAGCTGGCTGTGTATAGAGGGAAGGAAAAAAGCGCGTCGGTGGATGGTTGTCCTCAGTCATATCAGGCGCCTCTGTACCCAACAAAAGCAGCTGTTGAACTCTGACTGAATGGGATTTAACGAGGCTCCTTTGTTTTCTGATGGCACTGCGCGTTTCCAGTGTGCCAACCTTCGTTTTTTCCCCACAGTGAGAACAAAAATAAACATCTGATCAAGTCATTTACTCCAACATCTTTTTTTTTCTAAAACTAAATTAAAGTGAGGTATGACGCCGTTCTATATTTTAAGTGAGAGTAAATTGCCCATTTCGTTGTTTCGTAGGTAAATAGCTCTGAGACTTGACTAGAAGGTGGTAGCAGTTCACCCAACTTGCTTTAGTCTCAATGTGAAAGTGTGACTTGTCAAGATGGATATTTTACAGGAAAAATGTTGACCACAAGGAAAAGCGCGAGGTAAAAATAAAATAACCATATTCATCTGTGTTTTTTTTTCTATCTGCTTTTTATTGTCCTCCAGTCTGTGTTGGGCGATTGCTTTTCAGTCTCCAGAGAACTCTGCTCGGGTTTTCTAAGCTTCATTAGAACATGCTGGTCTTTACTAGTGTCGCTTTAGCTCCGTTCTGTCTTTGCAAAGACGACAGTACGCTGGCGAAGGGCCCGCCCAACGAGTCCGGGATGGATGTGATGGTCCCGGGTGCGGCGGCCCAGCCTTGGCTCGGTGCCGTCACTCCCATGCCAGTGGATACGGAGGTCTTCACTTGGTCCACCTGTCCGTTCCCGGTGGTATTGACCTGGCCTGCGGTGGGGCTCGGTCCGCCGCAGTTGGAAGTGGGAACCGGGTTCGGCCCCGGTCCTCCCGTGCTGTCTGGGTCGGTGGTTTTGGTGTCTTTACTGTCTTCGTCTCTGGAGTCGGACTTCTTCCCGGAACTGGACTTGGCAGCCGCTGCGGCAGCTGCAGCTGCGCGCTCCTGCTTGCGGAATTTCGCGCGACGATTTTGGAACCACACCTGGAAAAACGTTCAAAAAGTTTACACAACATTTAAATTATATTTATATTTAATTTATCAATAGTTGTGATACAAGCAATATGAAAATTTGAGTTGGATAATCTTGCGGCTGTTTGCGTCAATATTAGTAAAATAAAAGATGCAAGCTTTTTATCTAATTATTTACTTGAAAATGATTAGATGAATCGTACGTAAAGGCAGCCGCCAGCGGTGGGCGCCCGTTGAACTGCGGGGTTTTTGTACCTGCACTCTGGCTTCAGTCAGATCGATCTTGAGTGCCAGCTCCTCTCTGGTGTAGATGTCCGGGTAGTGAGTCTCTGCAAAAACCCGCTCCAGCTCCTTTAGCTGCGCGCTGGTGAACGTAGTCCGGATGCGCCTCTGCTTCCTCTTTTCGTTCAGCCCACCATGATCGGTGAATAGTTTGTAGGGAACTGTAAACCAAAAGGAAATGTCAAGGTTGACGTGTTTTATCCGCTCAGTAAAAAGGGAACGTGATTGTTTAGGTGTGATTCTGTCAAATGGAAGTAAATTGAAATTTGGTTATTTTGTGTAAAATCCGGTTACGCACGCTGAGTTGGAGCTTCCAGTTAAATCGTGTATTTGATTACCTTTGAATTAGATCAGAATTGATAACACTGCTGACCTGTGAAGCGGCTAATTGTAAAATTAATTGTTGCTCCTCAGATTGAGGCTCCTGTTTGAAAACTTGTCATAATGTTGCCGTCCGCCTCGCTCGTTGCTACTGTAACTCCAATTTGGTGTCAATAATGAGCTTTAGTCTTTGGTTATCTAATTATTTTCGAAGCTTTATGTCTCATCGCAAAGTAAATAAATTATGCCTATCATTTTGGCAGCTTAAGATAATTCTGTTGGCGGTTTTGGGTGTGACTGGGATAGTATAACCCCATAACCGAATTACCTCTTGCCTGCAATCGCTTCTAACGTGATAAATTCTTTCATTTGTGTAAGCAAATTTCGTTTGGTAAATACTAAACACATTTCCATTTTCAAATGCAATCAAGGCGTCCTATAATACACCAGGTTGAGGCTGCGGAGCTCGCTGCTGCTTACCTGCGGCATACGGGCTGCTCTGGTGATCCCGCAGGGTCCCCAGACTGCAGGACCCCGGCGTTAGGGAAGGACAGCCGGAGGTAGCCCCGAAAGTGGTCCTGATGGGATTATACTGGAAGCCGCTCGTCTGACTGCACGAACTGAAGTCCGCGTAGGCCGATGCCAAGCTCGACGTGTCCATCCCGGCCATACATGACTCGTAGGCAGAGGAATTTAGGTAAGAATACTCCATTTTATACATTTGAGAAGGCTCGGTTGAGATTGAAAGCTGCACTTCCCTGGGAAAAAAAAGTCAAACAGAAGCACCCAAAAATGGGTCTGAAATGAAAAAAACAAATAAAAAAATCAAAATGAGGAAGACGCGCGGTCTGAGTTTGATGACTTGTTTGGTTTGGACTGCTTAGAAGAAGGCTGGACGGTGAGTAGATGTTCACTGCTCAGCGCCTGCTCCAAAACTGGCCTCCTTTATACGAACCTAGCCCTGTTTTATGAAAAGCCCCCTAAGAGCCGCCTAGCCCGAGGTCTCTAGAGCATATAGTCCTCATAATAAACTTGGCTCTTTCCGCTTGGACAATAGCAAAGCGTTTGGTCTTATTGCTAGCGCTTTTTTACATGACAATAACTCATCAGTCTATTGGGCTGGCACTGGGGGCCCGGGCTGTCCAACCTCCCTATCATTGATCCCCTGCATCTCTAATTAGAATTTAATACCACGCCATTACGCAGCCCTCCACCACCGCCGCCGCCGCCCACCTCCTCCACCCATCCACCCCACTCCTCTCCAACCAACATCTTGCCCTTTAATTCAATCACACCACTTGGAAATAATGAAAGTTGGGTGACGATTCTCCCTGATCCAATTTTCTCCAAGCTTTTAAGCCTTTTAAGCGACCGTATACCTTGGGCAGGATTTCACAGAGTATTCCCACTCTGCCTCTTCTTTCTGTCCGTATGCTCCGACATTTTTTTCCTGCTGTTTCTGCCTCTGATCTTCTGCACTGAAGCGATAAAACATGTCAATTTTTATCCAGTAAAATGACCTATTTTTACGTACAAGGATCCGTTTCAAGTGCACTTGATAATAATGCAATCATTGCGCAAAAGAAGAGGATGTAACAAGCAAATACGCACTAGTGATTTTTTTTTCACATTGACATTTTTCTTTTATTTTGCTCTGCTTGAGAATCTGGCTTTAACTCTGAAGGTGCAGTTAAGTGACTCGTACCTTGTCAAATTCTTCAAATAAATAAAAAAAAAAAAAATTATGACGAAAATAGAAAACAAAAGATTTCCAACCCATTTTTATCTGTTTAAATCGCGTAAATTTCATGAAGTTAATTTAAAGACATAAAACATGAAAAATGAACACATTTACATTCTATTTAATAACTTGCCATTTTTGCAAACGTAGGCCTCCTCCCGTCTCTGCTGCAGCATCAAATCGTGCCGGGTGTGTTTTCTATGTTTCAAATGACTTTATAATTCTCTTTATTACTTTCATTATTCCGTTTATTTGGCAAATAACATCTTTGTAATGAAAGTAACGAACTGGCGCGGCAGTCATCGGACCTCTCAGGCTCCCAATATTGGCTGAGTGGTTAATTCGGTTTGTGTAATAAGGTGAACCGCTTTGTATGGCGCTTACACACACTGTGTTTCTTCTTCTTCTTTTTCCTCCTATTTTTATTCATTGGATCGAGTTCAAGTCCTTCTTGTCGAGGCTCCATGTTTTCCCTCCAAATCATCTGTACACAAAAAAAGGCGCAACAGTAATTATGGCACATCAATCTAATTTTGCAAATGGTTATTTGGTGCCTAAACTCGTTCATCTGGTGGTGTGTGTTGATTGGAATATGACTATAATATTGTTATAATAATCCTAGGGGGATTGAGAGCATGTATTTTACAGCAGGTGAGTTTGGTGTCAGTCTGGACAGTGGATATTAAACGCGTTTGTCTCACTGCCTGTTCAGTTTTACAGGATTATTATAGATTATTTTTCTTTCTGAAGCGCCTCAGTCTTTATTTTACCCGACTTTATCGCAGTATTGATTGTGTTTTGTCACCAAAAGAAATGTGTTGCTGTTATTAAAAACGTTGATGGTTTGCAGGTAAAATTAAAATTTGAACGAGTCTGTGGTTAAATTCTACATTTTAGCATCTAAAAAATGACACACATATTACAAATTTTAGAATTTTAGTTTCCTGGAATGTTAAACTTTTATTAGAATATAATTAGATCGGACTTGCTTCCATATAAACACTTATTTTGCTTCCATAATACATGCCTTCTCCATCAGTTATTTGTGTCTCTCCAACTGCTGACACCTTGCAGTGTGTTTCTGTCTCTATTTATTCTTTACTGACACAACCCCGTCCCTATTATGTAAATGCCTTTTTTTATCTTCTTTATTCGCTCTGCACACGAGCTGGGACCCAAAAGTTGTACCAAATGGTTAATTTGATTATTGAAACCAAAGAGCCAAATGGTTCACCGTCCTCCCTCCACGCGTCTGGCAGCGAGAAAAGAAACCATCTCTGGGAATTAATCTAATAACGCTCAAAGAAACGAGAAGTCTTTTCTGATATTTCGCCGAGGCAAATACAATTATAGCTTTTAGCCATCGGTTTCTTTCACTGAGGCCGCTCTTTATTCCTGCGCTCTATAGCCCGGTCCCCTCCACCAGAGTCCACCCGCTATTGAAACGCCCCTTCTTTTATAGTTTCAACATCTTTTAATTCTATCAACTGGTTCTGGTGAGACGAAAGGCCGCAGACTCCATTCTGATGTTGGAATATTGAATTCGAAATCTGGCACGCTGGAGTCTGAGTTTCTTTACATGATTTCAAGTCGTTTTGCAAAATGCCATAGGTGGTTTTATCCAGATGCGCATTGGAGCGTTGCTTGTAGTGATTTACAGTAACATAATAGCCCTTTAAGTCAAATAAAGCGGTAATTAAAGTGTAATTATCTGGATTTAACTATATAGCTTTACCTAAATAAATCAAGAAAATGGGATGTGTGCAAGACCCTAAGTTCCCTTGGCAAGTGCCGAACAATAGCCGGGATGCAGGAGGAACTCCTCTCCATTTAGTGCGCACTATCGTTGCTCAGCAATATAGGAATGCTGGTCGACAGGAGGAACAAAAAGAGGAACAAAATGCCATTGTCTGCGGATGGATTGGATGGATCCACTCCCCTGAAAAGGCAAAGGAACAGAAGAGGATAAAGAGAGGGAGAAAGATGGGAGGGTCCTGCTGTCACATTTCACCTACAACGTCTCACTCCGTCGCCCGAGGAAATGCCGGGCTTATCAAAGCAGTTATTAATAAGGCCGCGTGTTGCAGGGGAGGGGCTCTGGGGCAAATAAAAAATTCATTTTGGGGACACTCTCATGGCGATTTAGTCTGATGTCTCAATTCGACGGAGCAGAAAAAAATATCCGGCATAAAAGAAAAATCAGAGGTGCCATAAGATCCTCGCAGATTATTCCATTTCAATAAGTTCCATCCGGAAAAGTTAAAGCATTCCTTCACCGCAGTTATATATTTTTCGGATTAAATTTTTGTCGATTGACGCATTTTCAGATATGAATAGAAGACACTAGCGCGTTCCAGGCTGGTGCGTAAAAGGCGCTTCGCGTTTCCAACCGCACAGATGGAAAGTGACATCTGGAGAAGAGACGAAATTAAATTAGGAACTGGTGTCTTCCACCAGTGTCTGCAGAGGAAAAAAGAAAATGTGCAGCACAAAGAAAGAGAGGGGTTTGCTTTGCACGGTGCAGCCTCTGTCACATTTGTTCTGTATTTTTCGCGCATTTTTATCTGTTGCATATTCTTTCTGACTTAAATTGTTGCGCTGATTGCGTCAAATAGAAATGCAGAGATACTATTCACCTGTTCTGCAAAGAAATATTTTTCTCTTCTCTCTGAGAACATTTAAATTTGTGGTTTCAACCCACAGTTTAATTTTAAGTGTTTTAATGACGCGTCTCAGCAGTGATGGATGAAAATCTTCGATTTCGATATTATTGAATCTCCATGCGCTTGACAAAGATCATAACATGCTGGCTGTCAGACTGGAAAGATGGGTGGGCTTGACTGTTACTGTGCTTAAACTATTCAGACTGTGTCATTCTGCAGTTATAATTTTGAGTAAATGACAATCAAGTGCGGGGTTCCTCAAGGCTCCATTCCCAGATCACTCTTTTTCAATTCATTTGAATTTTCTTTATATATTTAAATTAAACATTTATATATATAGCAACTGTTATATCAAGTCACTTTGCCAGACAGACATATTATATTTTAAAATCAGCACCACTCAATGCAATGATTGAAATTTCGAGTGTTACCACGATACAGTCAAATTAAGTTTATAAAAAAAAATAATATAAACTTCATATATCTAAGGGAGTTCACCCGATCCCATCAAGATATTACCTTTACAGGAATGTTGATAATCCTGAGCAAAAGTTGCAATTCTAGTTCAGCTCATGGAGGACTGCGTTTTCTACCTTACATGCTGATGACACAGATTTACACAAATCCCATGAAGTCACTAAGTGATGTTCACACGGTCAGCAGATTTATCAGAATGTTATCAAATCTAAAGCAAAAAGGACAAACATAATTGTTTTTAGCCCCAAAGATGCAAGTTTGAGGATCTACATTTAACATAACAGAAACTTTGGACTCACACCAATATTCACAAAAAGCCTATTTCTAAATCACCCTACTCCATATTAAAAACTACCATAACCTATTTATCTGTCATAGTTAGAATGCAATTTATTTTGGTAATGTTCACAGATTACAGTAAAGGTGTTTTTTGTTCTCTTTAAATGAAATGAATCTTTAGATCCTATTCCGCCAGATTTAAAATCATATCCATGGTCATTCATAGGTTTTTTTTTTTTTTCCCATTAGGGCCAAATTTTATTTTTTTGCTCATTCATATTTATCATGTTTTAGCTCCAGTTATAACTAAAATTAATAATATGCATGGTGGATTTAGATTTAAAGTAATCTTTTAATTTGACAATCATGTTTCTTCGGTAATATACAGTTTTTCTGGAGCAGATCATCCAGATTTCTGAGTTGAATTAAACAGAAACTCTGTGGAGGAAGCTAAAGATTAGGACTCCCAACCTCCAAGGCTTGAAGCTCATCACCAAAGTTAAATAATTAAATATCAATGAAAACATGTAAAATACTGCTTAGATGACTGCTGTAATGTCAGCAAATACGTCACTTCGCTGTCCTTTGAAAAATACCTGTTTCATTTCCGATCAAAAACAAATTTATTGGTTGATTAAAATAATTTTTAATCTTAGTGAATTATATATGTAGGCTATATGTTTTAGTTTTGTCTTCACTGTTTCTGTCTTTTTATCTGATTCCTAAACATCACATTTACTTTATTTATTTATTTATTGTCTCTATGTGCAAGTCTGTGCATCTGTTCCTTTTCCCCTGCAAAACACTTGCTTGTCAATTAAAGTTACCCTGCCTTTAGATGTCTATCGTGTGTAATAATGTTCTTTTATTCTGCAGTAATGCGTGCCACTGTCTTCCAGATGTTGCAGCCAGTTCCTGGAGAGCCCGGCTCGTCTCTCCTGGCCTCATCGGCCCCTCCGAGCCTTTATCTGCGCTTCCCGAGTGACCAAGAGACCAGCCAGCGGATTAACATAAAAATCTTATTCCGGGGGATAAGAT